CTTCAGGTGATAAAAATACGTTTTTCTTTCATCAAAGAGCAAACAAGAGAAGGAGAAGAAACTTGATTAAGAGCATTGCAGCGGCTAGTGGACTTATCATTGATGATCCGACACAACTGGAGGCTATGGTGACAGAGTTTTATGCATCACTTTTTCGGTTTGAAGGTGTGACCGACATGCACCGAGTCATCAATGCAGTTCCAGTCAAGGTTACTGAGGCAATGAATGATGTCCTTACAGCAGCATACAAGAGGGATGAGGTTAAAAATGCTCTATTCCAAATGTTTCCTCAAAAAGCACCCGGGCCTGATGGTTATCCAGCCCAATTTTTTCAGCATAATTGGGATGTTTGTGGTGATGATGTGACGGATGCAGTTCTTCGGATTATTGATGGAGAGGACAGCCCTGCCTCTATTAATGACACTGTTTTGGTCCTTATTCCAAAGGTATCCAACCCCTCTTCACTTTCACAATTCCGTCCTATCAGTTTATGTAACGTGCTATATAAGATTGCTTCCAAGGTAGTTGCAAACCGTCTTAAGAAGATTTTGCCAGAGATAATTTCTGAGGAGCAATCAGCTTTTGTACCTGGTCGGTTAATCACTGATAATATCATATCTGCATATGAATGCCTGCACTTCATGAAGAGAAATAAGGCAAAAAAACATAGGTTTTGTGCACTTAAGCTTGATATGATGAAGGCCTATGATCGAGTGGAGTGGTCTTATTTGGAAGCAATCTTGACCAAGTTGGGTTTCAGCCCTCATTGGATTTCTGTGGTCATGAGTATGGTGAGCTCTGTAACTTTCTCGGTCTTATTTAATGGCAAAAGGCTAGAAGAGTTTAAACCATCAAGAGGTATCCGACAGGGAGATCCTCTTTCACCATATCTATTCTTGCTGGCAGCAGAGGGCCTTTCGTGCCTCCTGAAAGCTAATGCTCAATCATCTAATCTGAGTGGAATAAAAGTGGCAGAGACTGCTCCGGCAGTTAGTCACCTTCTTTTTGCAGATGATAGCCTGTTGTTTTTTAAAGCAAGCCGTGAAGGGGCGGAAGAATTGTCAAACCTTTTGGATATTTATTGTAATGCATCAGGTCAAAGAATTAATCGTGACAAGTCCTCAGTTTTCTTTAGCAAGGGATGCCCAGAAGCCCTGAGAGAGGAGGTAAAAACTTCCCTGGGTGTTACTCAAGAGGCTCTTAATGATAGATACCTTGGCATGCCGACTGATGTTGGAAAATCAAAAAATGGAACCTTTAAATATCTAAAAGACAGAGTTTGGAAAAAGGTCCAGGGGTGGTTGGAAAAGATGTTGTCAGTAGGAGGAAAAGAGGTGTTGATCAAATCTGTTGTTCAAGCTATCCCAGTGTACTCAATGTCATGCTTTAAGCTCCCGAGAGGTCTTTGCGAACATATCAACTCCATCATCCGCAAATTCTGGTGGGGGAGCAAGAATGGAAGCCGCAAAGTAGCATGGGTTTCTTGGGATGTTATGTGTCGGCCAAGGAACATGGGGGGACTTGGTTTTCGTGATCTCGAACTTTTTAATTTAGCATTGCTAGCAAGACAGGCCTGGAGAGTGCTTCAGGACCCACTTTCGTTGAGTTCCAGAATTTTGAAGAGTGTATACTTCCCTGAAACAACTATTTTATAGGCTCCTTTGGGGAGTCATCCCTCGCAGATATGGCGATCTATACTCGAGGGGAGAGATGTGCTGGCTCAAGGCCTTATACGCAGGATTGGTAATGGGGCTACTACTGAGATATGGCGACACAATTGGCTACCCAGAGAGACAACGATGAGGCCTATTACATCACCGCCTTCTTTGGGGCCTATTTTTGTTAGCGAGCTTATTGATGAGACATCTGCTAAATGGAGGGAGGAGCTGGTTCATGACATTTTTCTGCCAATGGATGCCGCAACTATCTTGGATATACCTCTTTGCACACGGCAGGTCCAGGATTTTTGGGCATGGAGTAAGGAGAAGAGAGGAACATTCAGTGTCCGTTCTGCATACAGACTGCTAGTTCATACTAAGTTTATGAGGGGTAGCTGGCTGGAGGAAACAGCGGGATCCTCAACGAATGAACGAACAACAAAGGACTGGACAGCCCTATGGGGTACTCAAGTTCCAGCCAAGGTCAAACTTTTTCTATGGAGACTTGCCCTCCATTCGCTGCCTACAAATGATGTCAGGGCCCGGCGCAAAATGGCTAACCATCCGAGGTGCAGTTTGTGCGGTATGCAAGATTCATGGGTGCATGCGCTGCTTGAATGTTCGTCGTCAAGATGTGTATGGGCTTTGGCAGATTCAGAAATGGTGGAACATATGATGCACATGAACGAGAACAACGCCCGGAACTGGCTATTTTCACTGCAGGCTACGCTATCGCATGAGGAGTTTGTACAACTTACAGTAACGCTGTGGGCGATTTGGTTTGCCCGCCGTAAGGCGATCCATGAAGCAGAATATCAATCTCCCATGACAACACATCTATTTATAAACAGGTTCATTGAGGATATGGCCTTGATTGGGGGGGGGGGCGAAGCAACATGTTCGAGCAAACTCGGTAGCTCCCTGCAATGTTCGCGAACCATGGGTTCCGCCACCTACGGGATTCTCAAAGTTCAATGTCGACGCTGCCATTTCTACGCATAATGGAAGGGGCTCTGCCGCTGTTGTATGCAGGGACGAGCGAGGCATGTACCTTGGCAGTTCAGCAATGGTCTATGCGATCACAGACCCACCAACGCTCGAAACTTTGGCTTGTAGGGAGGCTTTGTCTTTGGCTCTTGACCTAGATGAACACCACCTACTGATTGCATCCGATTGCCAATCAGTGATAAAAGACATTGTAGAAAGAACGGGAGGAGCAAATGCAGCCATAGTGAAGGAGATAACAGCCAGAAGAGAAGAGTTTGGGGCATGCAGGTTTCGTTTTGAGAGTAGAAAGAGCAATTTTGAGGCTCATGCTTTAGCTAGATTTGCTATTTCTTTAGAGATTGGCCGTTATGTGTGGTTTGGCACCCCACATGATTCTGTAATTATCCCCATGAACATCATGAATTAATAAAGGTGGGGGTTTTTACCTAAAAAAAAAATCGTCCAAAAAAAAAAAGAATCCGTATCTGCGACGACGATCGTGCCGAGAAAGGAGATGGCAACCTCGGCAGCGGAGAAGCGGCGGTTGTCAGCGCTCCCCGACGATCTCCTCCACACGGTCTACGCCAGGCTCGCCGGCCCGGCCGAGCGCGTCCGCTTCGCCGCCGTGTGCGCGTCGTGGCGAGCCGTCGTGACGCACCCGCCACGTCTCCCATGGCTGATCCTCGACCCGAGCGGCCGCGACAAGGAGAAGCACGTGTACGGCCCCGCGGACGGCGCCGTCCTGCCGCGCTTCACGTTCCCCACCGACGCCGTCGGCGGCCACGGAGGTGGCTGGGCTGCCTTCTTGGACGAACATCTAAGGATCGTCAACCTTTTCTCCGGTGCCGAGGTGGCGCTCTCCCCAACGCAGAGGACGCGGTGCGCCCGTGACCCGTTTGTCCCGCAAAAGGTAATATTCTCCGAGCCGCCCACCTTGAGCGGTTGTATCCTCGCCGCCATCACCGATAAGTATGGAGTTGCGATCCGCGGGCTTGCTAACTCGGACATTTATTACAAGGGAGGTCATGGATATTGCCTTCTGCAATGGTGGTCTTTATTGCATCATGTCATGCACCAAGCAAATCGTTAAGTTCAAGGTCGGTAGGGTACTACGTGGTGAGTGGTGCTCAAGCTCGTCCTCCCATGTGGGTTTTGCCTCCTGATGTTTAGCCAGGTTTGTTTTGTTTCTGCTTCTCATAAGTAATTTGTCATCTCGTGCTCTTCGTTTTCTTCACCTTCAACGATTATGTTATGATGACGAGGAATGTGTCTCTGATCACATGCATCAAAAGGTTTTAGGTTGATCACTTTGCGCAACTCCTCGAGATACTTGTTGTACTGTTTTTTGATTTTTCGTCGGGTGGGCCCCTCAATTCCCCTTAATCCAATCTTGATTGTCCACGTTGTACATTACGTAAAACACGTATAACGTAACTTTCCTAACAATAACTTTACGTAGGTGTAGCATTGCCGGTAATGAAAAGGCGAGATCCACGTGGCTAATTAAGATCATGAAACGACTCTTGAAAACAAGAGGTACTCCCTCCTTGCAAATGATTTGGTACTAGATGATGATAATCTTTTCTATAAGCTTGGTCGAAGTTTACAAAATTTGACTTTGGGCAAACTTATATATGCACCATAATTTGGCAACCAGGGGGTCACTTTTATTTGCGTCCAGATTATGTTTATCAATTTTCTTTTCAGTTTTGTTCACACTAGGCGTGCTGCTCTCTTGGATCAGAGCCTCCCGATTTGAACGGACAAAAGCTGGAGGTCCTGAAGCAAATGAACAGAGATACAAAAGGCGAGCAACACCGTATCTCAAGTACAGGCCTATGAAGGAGAGCTATCTTCATAAGATGTGCTGCAAGTTGAGCTGCTGAACTGCGCAATGCCACACCCAACCTGGCAGAGTTAAGCTAGCAGCAACTGATTTCAGTCAGTTCCACCACAGAGCAGAGCACCAACCAGTGCGTACACATCTACAATCAAAACATCAGGCACAATCACAGATCTATCTCTCGAAAGATAAGGCAAAAGTATGCGCGCAACAAATAGATCAGCAGTCCTGAGTCAACTTGCAACAATCAGCTAACAGCAGCATGTACAAAAACAACAAAGTCATCTTCGGTCAAATAGATGCCGACGAACGACAAGCTGTACAAACCGACAAAATACACCATCTCAACAACAATGACGACAACAACCAACACCCTCACCCATCCCACACCAGACGGTAAGTAGCATGAGATGAGCACAATCTCTCTCAATCTGACTATAAACAAACAGTACACAGCACCAGCCAGTCAACAACAAATTTAACCACCATTTGGGGGGAATGCTTCATGTACACTACAAAATTATGATGCTAACATCATCATCTCCTCGCCGAGTTCCCATGTCTTTGGCTGCGGAAATAGCTGAGAAGAGCCTGCGCCTGCACCCAGTAAATTCAATTTCTTAGCAACAGAAAAAAAAACAAATTTTCCTTCCAGTTGTAGATAAATTTTGTGATAGGATGTTAGTGGCAAACCTTTTCTCTTGCCCGAGGTGTTCCTGACTGTGACAGCGCAACTAGAGGAGGCACGGCGCCCTCTTGGAGAACTATGCTGCAGAACCTATTGCTGTTTGTGCATAGCTGAAGCAACGCCGCGGCAGCGTTTTCTTTTCCCCGTGCTGAACCCAGCTCGACGACTTCGACGAGGGCTGGGATACCACGGGCCTGCCCGATCGCGGTCCTCCCTTCTGGTATCGTGGCAAGGTTTGCCAAGACGGCTACGGCTTTGTCGACCATGCCAGCAGCAGGATCCATAAGCTCGACTAGGTACTTCACAGCATCAGCTTGCACAATGCGACCCTTGTTCTCATGGAGTATCGACAGATTGAACAAAGCGGTGGCTGCATCTTTCTTCCCTCGCGGAGTCCCATTTCCCAGCAAGTCCACGAGAGGCTTGACGGCACCAGACCGTCCAATCCTCACCTTGTTCTCTTCAATAACCGAGAGACTGAACAGAGTAGCCGCTGAATTCTCTTTAGCTTCAGCGTTCCCTGTTTCCAGGACATGGATGAGAGGATCAACAGCATCTGCACTCGCAATGGCAATCTTATTGTTGTCATTGATTGACAAATTGAGGAGGGCTGTCACTGCATTTTCTTGGATTTTGGCATCTGTTGAATGAAGGAGACCAACCAGCAAGTTTATAGCCCCACAATTTGCAATGACAATCCTGTTCTCCATGTTGTGCTTAGCTAGAAGGCGGATCTCTGACGTTGCTGATCTCTGAGCTTCTATGGAATCGCTTCTCAAATCATCAATTAGCTTGCGTACCTGATTCTCGATGGCAGAAAGATCACCTCGGGCATCCATGGACGAGGGAGATGTTATTCTAGGGAATCCCCTGTCAGATGGTTGCCGCCGAACAAATTGCCCTCTCATGCGGAGATCACCCAATCTTGGGAGCATTACATTTTCCCTTTGAGGGGCGGAAGAGACAGAAGGCCCACCGTCAGCAACTTCTCCAGATGCATCACTACTGTAATTTGTCCTATCACCTGGAACTCGTACCATCCCATTGGCATTGTCACATTCCCCATCAAGCTGACCGCTATTAGGAAGACTCCCATTAACAGAAGAGCTGCCTACATGGTCCTGTGAATCACCGTTCAAAAGAGATGCTTCAAATGTTTCCTCCGTCGATTGTTCTGAGGTTTGTACATTGGAACCAGCATGCCTTTCTTCAAAACCAGACTCTCTTGCTTCAGAACTCGCAACAGATAGCCTTGAAATATCTGGCGCGGAGCCATTTGCATAGTCTGAAGACTGATTGGTGGATGCCTCATGGCCAGGACGGTTCACAAGTGCATCAGAGTTCTGGTGGACCGCACTGTGGGAAGGAGATGCTCTATTCAGGCTTCTCATATACAGGTCAGCTTCTGGGGACCCAGGAATATTACCCCTACCAGCACTAGGATGTAGAGGACTGTTGCCTGTGGCGCTCAAATCTTGAAGGGAGGAGGCTGCTGACGGAAAGTTCAACTTCAAGGATTTCACAGGATCAGGTAGCTTAATATCATGTGACTCACACCAGTTGGATATCAAAGCTTTCACAGTATAGTTAGGAATTAAATTAGAATGAGCAAGTCTTTGGCGTGTCTTCGGGCAGATAGTAAAACCTTCATCGAGCCACAACTTGATATAAACCCGCTCATAGGTCTGACCAGATGCTAAAATAACAGGATCAGACATCAGCTCCAGGGAAAGTGGGCAACAGAAATCAGCAGGAATGGGTACCCCGTTGATGTTAAGCAACTGTGTTTCCCTGAGAAGGCGCTCGTGCATATAGTTGACCATTGGAATCATCTCCTCAGCAAGCTCGAGTTCTTTACGGTTCTCACTGCGCATTGCCCTTGTTCTCAGATTCTCGAGGGAAACAGCTTCCATGTATAATTCAAGGTTAGTTGACAGACTTAATGAACTTGATACTATCGACAGATTCTCGGGACTTTGTGTATCATTCCCATTTAACTTCGTTGCGACCTCCTTCGCCAAATCAAACATGTGCTCATAATCGATGTCCTGGAGTTTCTACAAGAAATCAAAAATCACAAATGACAAACATGAGCTGGATGCACAAGGCACATCAATGTGACAGATAGTAATAAAGTACTGTAATAACTAGCTATATAACAGATAAGAGTCTAGAGTGGATTTTCCATTACCTGAATACAAATGCAAGCACATCCAGTCAGAGAAGGTAATAAAGAATTAGCAAGCTGGCACAATTGAAGGGAGCATCCCTGAATATCCGAGATCACTGATTCAATTTGCCAAACCTGTTTAATGTAAAATAAACATACTGAATCAGAAAAGCAACATTTGGTGAGCAGCATTAGCTATATGACTTTTATGGCATTCATCAACCTGTGTTACCTAAAGAGCTATATTGTCTGATAAGACAAAGAACCAGTACCAAACAGAACTAGCTTAAATAAAATTATTTGCATTGACTTCAAGGCTTAAGGGACATCCAGTGGCAAAAAGGACAAGTACTGGACCACAACAGAAAATTGAGCGACTAACGAAACAAATGGGACGAGGTAACACCGGAAGAGTCAGAACACATAAGTCAAAGAAAATACGTCCAAGTACCTCCATAAGCGGGGCATATAATTTAGTACAGTTGTGTAGTTTATTTTGGGCTTATATGCTATTTCCCTTAAAGAATACCGCCTACTGGAAAATCATGACATGAGTTACTAAAAATGTCAAATACTGCTGGTTAATCTTCTCACTGAAGTTTAGCTAACGTATTTGCTTGGATTGTTTACCAAGGACAATGATCAATGCCCCAGCAACCTTTGAAGATTATTTTACACAAGAATGAGATATTTATTCAGCATAGGAACTGACCCAACACAGTTAAGGTCAGTCTACAAGTGAACCTAACAAAAAATGCTTTAGGGCGCATTTGGTAGCCTGCATTAAGGCCAACCAGGCTCTGGCGGGCTAAGTAGCGAGTTGTTTGGTTGCCTGGCTCGCACGCAGAAACTGGCCCGCACGGATCTTAAAGCGCCCTCAGCCTGGCTCGCCAGGAACGTTCAAATTGACCGTTTTTCCAGATGCAGGCTGGGCTTAGTGCAATTTACAATACGGGGAGGATGCTAGCTGGCTTGATGCGGGCAACCAAACAACATGCAGATATGGACCAGAGCCTGCATACACTGAACCAGGCTCCACGGGGCCAGGCTCCACTGAGAAACTAACCAAACACACCCTTCACTAATGTAAGTGCATATACTGTTATGGTTCAACCTGGGCAAGGGTTCGAACTCCGAGACAGAGAATAGGACACTCACCTCACCCAGCCACTGCAGAGCCAGATCTTGCTCTTAGCAAGGCACTGAAACTTAGTTGAATGATTGAATTACTAACTGGTTGACAAAAATAGTTACACGATAGCAATTTATATAGGCAACTGACTTGATCCATAAGCCGGATCATAGTACGAACTCTTTACAGAACCATAACTCCATCTTCCTAACTTAATAGGAATTTTCCTAGCCTAAAAGGCCTGGCTGTATCCAACACAACTTCCTATCGCTAAGCATGTGTTAGCCTATGACTACACAAATCTGCAGTTGTGCACACATAAGGCTGCTATCGAACATTTAGGCTGAGCCCAAACTGTTCACACTGCTTGTTTGCTACTCCCTCCGTTCCTAAATACTCCCTCCTTTCCTAAATATAAGTCTTTCTAGAGATTTCAATATGGACTACATACGGATGTATATAGACGTATTTTAGAGTGTAGATTCATTCATTTTGATCCATATGTATTCCATATTGGTATCTCTAAAAAGACTTATATTTAGGAACGGAGGGAGTATAAATCTTCGTAGAGATTCACTATGGAACACATACGGATGTATATAAATGCATTTTAGAGTGTAGATTCACTCATTTTGCTCCGTATGTAGTTCATAGTGGAATCTCTACAAAGACTTATATTTTGGAACGGCGGGAGTACATCACTGCTGGGGACAGGGCAGACTACTTATATGCAGTTTCAACAGAGAAAAATTCAATTATCAAGACCCCTGAGTTATACACTGTGGCATCCATCAGATTTTGCACTACATTTTAAGCAATGGAACCTGAGGGACATATGCTATTTTGTTGATGCAAATGTCAGCCAGCAAAAAAGAAGATTAAATTAAATGGTCACAGTGGAGCAACGCAGGACACTGGTCACCAGCAAATGCATGTTAAAGGAAAAATTCTGCAAAATAACAGGCACCACCTAAACAAAGCATAGAAGGTGGATAGACCGTTTGATTTACTTCAATTAACTTAATTATGAGGCATCATATATGAAAAAACAGCATGGATAAATGAAATGTGGAAATATAAATTTGTCTCATGTGTACGTACAAAGTATATTTTGCTGGTCGTTTGGTGCCAGTTCCCAATAAGCCCTGAAGCTTCGTTTATAGCAGTGTCAAGCTCCCTTAACACCTCATTGAGTTGCTCTTCAGGAGACTTGCATATATCTTCTATGAGAGGGCTCACGATGCTTGATATATCGCATACGTTTTGGCAGTAGTTCTGAATAGGCTTGGGCCTTGCAGTAGAGCCATCAGAAGTCAAGGCACTAAGGTGCGAGATACTATCGAGCAGAGTCCTCGGTGAGAAATCTTCCATCAACCCTATGAAAAGATGCATATGTTTAGAAGTTAGAATTCATAACTCACGAATACCAAAATCCATCCATATATGTTGATGAATATGCAGTAGCTGAGTGTGGGTTTATGAAGCATTAGAGCTTCCCATAGAAACAAAATATTATGTGCATACGAGTGCTGATCCTAACTACCTGATTAGCTAGGTTAAAACAAGAAACACAAGCTAAGTATTGGCCCATTTTCGCCTGCACTTTGATTTACCATTTTAATCTATGTATCTTGATTGGAGATTCAATTAAATGTATTCTGGTACAACAATGGCAGTTTACTGTAGAGTGGGTGCAATCATGACGCAAGTACAAATAGCAAGCAGTACACAACGAAGAAATCTGGAATGTCCGGTTCAGTGCAGTGACCTGCCTTCCCCTTTAGTATTGCTCAACCCAAGTACAAACATTAATTACCGTCTAGCGTGCAGTATTAAGGGTATCAGGGTATAGCCTAATCCAGACAATAGTAGTGCTGAAACATGCAACTGAATGTACTAGTACATAAACACGACAAAAATTAAGTAGGGAGGCGAGGGAAGCCACTAAATTGCGCGGGGGACATGAGCTGGTTGCCAGTTCAATTATGAATGTGATCATCTAAAGTACGCCACCAAACGCAAACATACACCAGCACAGAATGCGCTACATGAGACGTTCCTACTTCACAGTGGACAGAGTCACAGCAAATTCTCGCCCGCAAAGCGAATGCGGGCATCTAGAAGAGTAACGGACATCACTGCCCAAAATGATAAAAGGGGTACATGAATGCGACAAAAACTAGGCAGGGAGCTGGGGGGCAGCCACTCAACTCAATTGCGCGGGAACATGAGCTGGTTGTCAACTCAGTTCAGAACGTAACCATACAAGGCAAATACACTCCAGCATAGCCCGCTTTCCATGAGATGCCCCTACTTCACAGTGCACATAGGCACAGCAAAGCGAAAGAGGGCATCTGGAACTGTAACGGTCATCACCACCCAAAATTGATAAAAGGGGTACACCAACCAATTCAACAAAAACGACGTAGGGAGCTGTGGGTAGCCGTCCATTTGCGCGGCAACATGAGCCGGTCGCCCACTTGAATTAAGAACGTAATTAATCATCCGAGCTGCGCCAGCAGAAGGCATTACACGAAAATGCTCCAGCTCTTGGCTCTCACGGTGAATGCAGGCGTCCACTGCGTCTACCGCCGTAAGGACTAGGGTACCAAAATTTACATAAGGAGGCATTGAGAAGCTTGAGCACGGGAACCAGCCAGGGGCGGATCTAGGCGAGGATGCAGGGGGCACTGGCAGGAATCGTGGAGGTCCGCCCCCAGGGTCTGCACCAATCAGCAGACGAGGGCAACCTGGCGCCTCAGAATCCAGCCGCCACGCACTAAGCTACCAGACCAGACCCGTCCAACGCGCCACAGCAGCTAGCACCTACCCTACCCTAGCATAGCATACCCTACCATACCCTAAAGCGCAATCCGCCCTGGGCTCGAGCTGTCGGTCGGGAAAGCCCTCCCGCGGCGCCACGAGGCCAGGCAAAGGGGGAACCCGGGCAGCGGGGTTACCTGGACGGCGCGCCGGCGCGGATCAGCTCCGACGAAGGGGGGCCGCGGCGCCGAGACGGCGGCGGCGG